TTGGAAAAATGCTTTTAATTCTAATAATTACCTTATCTTGGATCCGAATCCGTACTAAAACAGGTTGCAGACCCAGGTACGGTAATCAAACCCTCACGATCCATCTTTTGCTTGAATGCTTTCAGTCCGGCATAAAATACTACTGAACAAGTTATTTTCCTTTTGAGTTCGCCTCTCCTGCCAGATGCAGAACACAAATCAACGGCAGGCACTCTCCTTTCAGATTCTGGGTACCTAATTCAAAGGCATTATTACACCTGATTTAAAAAAAACAGAATTACTAGCTAGATTCCACCACCAGTGCACTCTCCTACCAGATCTGGACATTAATTAGATACTCATAAAATCCAGGCAATTTCGCCTAGACGGGTAACAGTGAAGGAAGTGATAGGTTGCTGATTGTTCCGGGCATCAAAATACTATTACCACAGGCCCCAATTGATCTTCTAATGGTAGCGGGAAATGACAACTCCTCAGATACTATATGCAATCTATAGGGTCATGCAATTACAACGTATCATCGATCATCCTAATAATACCATCAAAAGCAAATAATATATTGAAGTCAAAGATGCCTGGAAAATGTCATGCTTCCAGGCTGCATTTATCTCATCTATGTATTACCTAATTCACCAAGCTATATATATTGCACGCATACATACTTACACAAACAAACACTAAAGGCTAGAGACTGCAAACAAGAAGGTTGGAAGCTGAGAAGCATGAGATTGATAAGGCAAGAGACAACTGACCTCTACAATATTGTTCCTTCTTTGACACTCAGCTGGAAAGGTCATTTCCTGAACGGATTTTGGCGATTGGGACCGTCCATCCTGTGACACTTCTGGCAATTCAATATCAGTTTACTGGCTCTGTGGTTGTGGCTCTGTAACTGCAATCTTGCAACCCAAGAAATAAAAAAAACTTCAATATTCTGATCATGTATAGCGGGAAAAAAAAACATTATGGACCCCGCAATTTATTCGAGAATTGCCTAAAATATACTACATTTTTCTCTGTTCTCTTCAGATATACCTTATCCGGATCATCTTTATAGGAAAACTACTTGTAGAAGAAAACACTGATAAAAAAACAACCAACATTCAAGAGTTATTATTTTCCCATCCTAAAGATGAAAATGTACAAAAACTGTTTTCCCAAGAGAAGTCAGACATTGGAAATATAGACCAAAAGGAGCATCTGAACATTTCATCAGCAGGCTGCTGACTGGGGACTCTTGTACCGGTAAGAAAGGGTTGCTATCTAAGACTTGCTCATAAAGATGATAAGATCAATCATCAACAGGAATAAAAACTAAACACTGACCATGATGGATTGAATTACACCAACAAAACGATAATTACTATTACATACTAGCAGCACTATTACATACCATTATGCTCACCGTATTTGCTGGGCATGGACTTAGTAACCACAGATTGAAATGAAAGTTGGAAAGTACATCTAATGTAATTCATTTTACTTTACACTGACAAAATCTTGCTTGCTTTGAAATGGTTGTCATAAATTTTATCGTTTGTTTACATAGTAATGATTTATTCACTTTCTGCCCAAAGGGGCAAAAGAACAGGAGGCCCGTTTTTATGTTCTAATATGCTGTGGCAGTAATTTCTAAGAGCCTACTTCTTAAACAAACGATAAAATTGTTGGGACAAGGGATAAATCATAAATTCCTTCATTTTATAGCATGAGCTAAAGCATAACTAACATCAGCTTTTTACACTGTATATAACCATGTGAGTACTATTAGGAAAAGGAAAAGTGCGTGAACCTAAATCTCAAGAGTATTGATTTCTTGAATGCCCTAATTTAAGAAAAGATTGGACATAAATCAGTATCATAAAATAAAAAGGCTCCAAAGGTTTGCATTTTTTCATGAAAATTGCTACCTAATTCTAGTGGTTGCAAGGGCTACTCTCAAGTCTAATGGCATCGACCCGTATTAATCATATCATGCCCTCCAGATCACTACGTAACTCCTACAAGAACCAAAACAATGATCACTATGGAAAGTTTATGACAGGTAAACACATTCAATAGCTCTAGTAAGAACTGATTCTTCAAGAAGATAACCAGCTTGAATCATATTCCTTTACAAATACAGTTACAATTACCAGGTTTTACTTGTTGGCCCCATTCTGCTCAAAGCTACCATATATTAAATTTTTACGGGGAAAAGGAAAGAACAAATCTTTTCAAGAGCTATTACAAGATTCCACATCTAAGTACCCTATGTAAAACAATCGCATTCTGCCTCTATGCCATACACATTTGACAAAGTACTTAATCAGCTGGCCAATGGATAGAACATGGAAGGGAATCAATGGATACTACATCCTTATCCATATTCACCATTACTCAAAGCCAAAAGTAAAAAATACCGATGAGGAATGAGGATATTAACTTACATCCATACAACAATATTCATAACATCCATATTGTTTAACATGAACTTACTGAAAATGAATCTGCTGGAATAAGATAAACTAATTTTGTTGCGCTGAAACAAGAATAGCATCAAGTCTCAATAGAAGAAAACAATAACACAGTCTTCAACTAACCTTTTGCGCTTGGCGACATGATACATTTCTCTCCTATCTAAACTTTGTTGAAAACCACCTCACAGAAACAGAAGTACTCCAGTCATAAAACATCAGGTGATCGTCTTTGCTAAAATGATGGAAATTTCATGAGCATATAAAAATAGTGAATTTTAGCATTATCATGTAGAATTCAGTAAGTAGTATTCTGGTATGCAGCCAGATTTGGATGTCAACATCAGTCTAGTTCTGGATAGTTAGGAAATAGATCTCTATGCATAAGAATCTTTAAATGGAAACAAATACCATTTGGAGTCAACCCAAGTTACCCAACTAATTATTAGGGTTCATTATGTGAAGATGTTTCAGATTTTGAAGGCTCACATACCTGACGAGATCAAGGAAGACCCAAGAATCCTCTTTGTGATTGAGGAAAACACAGATTTTAGAAGAATATTACGGGGGTATTATCAACAACTCCTCCTCTTTGCCTATAGAAAGGAGCATCAATTAAAGCTCAAAACATATCTTGAAGAAAATTATTAACCGAGCTCGAATGAGCTCTCTCCTCTCCCCTCTCCATAAGTTCTACACAAAATTTCCTGTCCATTCTTTATTTTATTGGGCAGCCTTTGCATAACTGCATCTATCGAGCATATGCCCAATTGTTACTGCAAGTTCACTTAATCTCTTATTAGAGGGACTTTAACCTCTAGCAGATGGATTGTTATGCACGGCATGCAGATGTCTAATTCTTCTACGCTGGCTTCTAAGCCCTTTGTTGTTTTTTGTTTAGATTTTATTCAGCTAAATCCTTCACATGCAAAATTTTATTAATAATCTAGAAGAATCAGATTACTATGCAAGTGAAATTTACATTTACTACTCAAAACTGATAAGTTTTCAACAATAACTCTACCTTCTGAAATCATCACATATATGTATAAGTCGATCGAACTCACAACTAAAATCACATTTACGAACACAATTGTAAGTGTAAATTTCATTTACTAATACGTCAAAGACATTATAAAGAGTAATAAATGCTTCCAAAAGGACAGCCCCTTAAATCTAAATAAAACCAAAGCAAGATCATCGATACTGATTGCTGATCCACTGCTTATAGCACAAGAACATCGTCCCTCTGGTTCAGTACCTGCCTGACCACCACCACCACCACCATCATCACCAACACCAACGCGACCGCGCACATGCACACAAAAAAAAATATGCTTCTTAACAGAAAAATGAAGTGTAACTAATTACAGACGCAATAGTGTCTGAAGAATAAGCATTGCTCTTCACTAACTTAATGAAATAGTTGATGCAAAAGCATAAACATAAGGATGGCAGATTGGTGGTTGTAAAAGCATGGCGTATCAAAAAATTTGGTTGCGATCCTCAGCCCTCGTCACAACTTTGGAGTTTTGGTGTACTTGAAGGGTCTTTTGTAATGATATCAGAACAATCCAAGTTCAAATCTTACTATTCACGAATTTAAAGTAGGTTTAAAAAATATACTCTCCGTGAGTTCAGGTTTCGGCCCATGAAAGGTGCTCAACCTGCAAAGGCATGTTAAACATATAATTATAACCCACCACCTTCGTCACAACTTCGGATTTAGTGTAATGGAAGGGTCCTTTGACAATTTGGTACACAACCATTACCTAGTAGCAGATTAACTATTACCAGACAACAACAAGACATGCTACACGAAAGAATTGGGTTTGAGGATACCAACTAGTAGCAGATTAACTATTACCAAATACCAGACAACAACAAGACATGCTACACGAAAGAATTGGGTTTGAGGATACCAACTTGGTCATGGCTATTGTGGTTTCATTAACTGCGTCAAAATCTGCTCCGTGATCAGTTTGACAAAGAACCATATAGGCTTCTTGAAAAGCAAACAAGAAAAAGAGCTTCGAGTAACACCAAACTTGATAAGTAGCTGATGGTTAACCAATGGCAATGTGCCAAAACAAGATTAAAAAAAAGTCTAATTATGGTTACTAGATAACATACATTCATCACCAGCTTATATAGGATTTGGCAAAAGGCTAAATACAAGACATTACCTTCCCCAAATCAATGGGAAGCCGGCTAGCAAAAAGAGGTGTAGTCTAAACCAACCCACGAAATACACACACACACACATGGACACGTACCGACGTACGTATGCAAACAATAGGGTTACTTTGAAAAGGCGGTTTATCAAAACTAATGCCTGTTTATGTCTGATAAATTTAAGAACACGTAATTTTTTTCATATTAAGAGCATTTCATCACAAAGAAGAATAAAATTTTACTAACAAAATGACAGGCTTAAGATCACGTTGCAGCAACACCGTAAAAATTAATCAACCAAAAAGACAAGGCAATACTAAAAGCCTAAAATAGTGTAACCTGAAACTCTAAATGGAACGAGAGAATGCGAAGAGCAATAACAAGATTAAAATTCCTCATAATGATTTTACTTCAGGTAATTTAAACATGAATTCCTCATAGATTTCAGGACATGATTACAATCTGCAAACAGGGATAATAAGGATGTTTACAACCTACAAACAGGAAACAAGAGAAAGTTAAATAAAACCATAATGCCACCTTACCAGATCTACAACAATCACATTCTGAAAGCAAGCCCAGACTGCCCAATTTAACTTTTAACACAATCAAAGAGTAAGATTTACATCAGGTGAGACGCTTCCTTCCCCGATCAGCAAGTAGTTCAGAAGGTAGGGAGGCAGGATCCAGCTCCCAACATTCTCTGGGCAAATTCTCATCCTCCTCGCCCAATAGCTTCCTTGCTGGTATTTGGTGTGAAAACAACCTCACATCCTCCTTCTCAAGCCAAGTAACAGCATGGGCACCAGTCTTCAGCCTCTTAAACACTGATTTGTATCCTTCCACCTTCTCAAGATGTGCCATGCTCAACCCGTACATCTCACTATAACTCGTAAGGAAAACCACTATATCATAACACCTTCCCTCCTCGTCTCCTCCTGATCCCTTGCCATATAAAGCCCAAACCGAACCCTTTTTCGGATAAATCCTGTAAAGTTCCTTTGCAGCCCTCTCGCATTCAACCAAGTGAGAGAAGAAATTCACCGAATCAATGTCAACCTTGCGCCCAACTTTGAATCTCCCACAAGAGATATGATGCCCAGATTTTTCCCAAAGAAGTAAAGCCTCATCTCCATTGTTCTGCACATCCAACCAGCACATCTTGACTCTAAATGGGTTCGACGAGAGGACTTCATCGATCAATCCATAAAGCCTTGGCATGCCATCATCGTCATCGTATACCGCCCAAACCTGCCCTTTGACAAAGCTCTTCTCAGTCCTATCCTTGTCGAAGTCATGAAAGTCTGAATCTTCAACCGCCATAAGGCTCAAATCCTCCTCCTCCTCCTCCTCTTCTTCCACATGAACACAAGCTTTTCCGCTCATTTCCTTCTTCTTTTCCTTTATCTTCATTTTCGACTTTGTGAGCTCTAGCTGAATCTCAGCCAGCGTCTTCTCCTTTCTAACATTAGGCTTCTTCAACTCCGAGCAGGCAAAATCCCCAACTTTCCTCTTCTTGACGCCATCTCCCCAATTAATCGAAACCCTAGGCCGAGATCTTGACCTCGACCTAGCACCCGTAGCCCTAGCCCCAACCCTAGCATCCACGTTCTCCTCCCCTTCCTCCTCCGCCTCCTCCTTCATTTCCGCAGCAAGAAAGCTCTTCCTACAACTGGGACAAACAAGGCGATGACCAACGTACCTCCGATCAAACTCATGCAATATCCGACACGTGTCGCAAGCCGTCCAAAACGTCTCCACCGGCACGATCCACGAAAGCCACTGCCGCCGCCTGCGCAGCCTTCTCGCCGGCGATCCTAACCCTAAGCTCGTCATCAAACCGCTTCTTGTTAGATCGATCGGATAGGAACCGGAACGAGTCTGCGACTCTCTTGAACGCTTCCTCGAGCCCCGGGGACTTGTCGGGGTGAAGGGAGAGAGCTAGGGTTTTGTACTGAGAGCGGATGAGGGAAGGAGGAGAGAAGGGATCGAGGCGGAGGATTTTGTAGTGGTCGGAGGGTGAGCAGCGGAGGATCTTTAGGGCGGTGACCAGAAGCGAGAGGCCGTCAAGGTTTGGGTCGAGGCGGCGAGCTCTGCGGGCGTACTTGAGGGCGGACTTGAAGTCGGAGGATTGGAGTTTGGACTCCGCGATGGATTTCAGGCGGCAGGCTTCGGATTCGGGTTCGGTTTCAGGTTCGGGCGCGGATTTTTTGGTTTTGGGCGCCATGGTTGAGGAGCGGAGATGGAGGGGAGCGAGGAGAGAGAGGAGGGGATGAGAGGGAATGGAGGGAAACTGTGATGTAAATTGGGAAGCATAATTGGGCCGGATCGGCTCAGATTTGTATCGGGTTGTTGTTTAATGACCCGATTATTAACCGGCGCAAGATCGATTTTAGGCAAAGGTTTTCTGGAGGATCAAGACGTGACTCGGATTTTTCATCTTTAGAACTCCTTTGAGTTTACGTTTGATCTGAAGTTACCGTTTTGTATTATCAAATTAGTTTTAAGCCCGTGCAATTCACGGATTTGGTTATTCTTGAGCTTGTGAGTTTTTTCTCTAGTAGACAAATATCTCAAGTATTTAGGATGATGTGCATCACAATATTTTAACTGATCATCATTTAACTGCAAATCTGTACAAAATCATAAAAAGGCCTTGTTAAAAGGCAAGAAATATCTTTAACGTGCAATTAAAAGTATGGTTATATTTACCTTTTTTCCGTTTGTTGGGTAAGAATTATCATATATCAACTA